TGATGATGTGAGAAGTGAACATAAAAAAGCTTCCTGAATGCTTTTGTGAATTGGATTGGTGTTGGCTTGGCACAGTTTCCCCCTGTCAAATGTTTTAAAAAAGTTTTCTGGTGTATCTGTGTTTCACCTTTTGGTAAACATTTTACTGTGTAAAGTATTACGATTTAAATAATGGCATTAAGAGTAACTATAACTGGTTTTTGTCAGAATAAGTTCTGTTTGTGACATGATTACTTACAAAAAATTTTAATTTACTGAATGAAGTTTATGGATTTTAGCAAAAATTAAATTTTCGAGCCCTTTGTTGCAATAATTTCTCTCTGCTGGTTGATCAATGCGGTGAATCAAACATAATTCTAATCATTTTTCACATACAATTGTTGGTCACAACTCACAAGTGAAGTTTAACCAAAGAGGTAAGCTGTAGGAGCTTGACAATATGTTTGACATAATGGTAAAGTTTTAAATTTAATTGTAACAATTTATCAATAACTTCATTCTAAAAATTGTAATTTCATATATTGTTTATTAAAAATAAGACAACAAAAAACATCTTTATTTGTAAGTTAATACAAATTTGACAGACATGATAGCCACAGGAACTCAATATACAATTACAAATAAAAACTTTCAATTATAATTATGCAGACAAGCTACATTGCAAATAAAAAGCCCCGATTCAAGAATCAAATATAAATTAGTTTAGTCCAAATTTTATACCAATAACGTCTTCATCTGAAGAACGTTCTTTACGCACAGTAGGTCGTTTTATCGCTTCTATCAAATCCGTTGACCATTCTAATAGGAAACTCTTTACTAGAAAATATAGAAATGGAATCACACTAAATATATTTATTACTTTTGTCCTAAATTATAAAATCTTAGGGCAACTGCCGTTCAATATAAGAGATGTTCTAAACATGGATCTCGCATACAATTCAAGGCAAGAAACTATAAAACCCGTAAAATTATATTTGAAGAACGTATTTTACAACAAAACTGTTTCTCACCTCATATGCTTGGTATCCTATCCGATGGCATTAAAAGTTTTGTCCATAAGTGAATTTAAATTCGTCAAATTTTCGAAAAACAACTCTTCATAATATTAATCTATATACATTCTGGCCAGTTTATCTGGCTGGAGTAATGGCGGACGCAAAAGATGCGCACTTAAGAACTGGGTACAAGTAGGGGACAGATTTTTCGCTGAGTGGCGCTTCTGTATGTATCTATTCTGTGCTTAAGATATAAAAACTTCAATAATTTTACTTACGAACACTTCGATGATGATGCATATCTGCTTTTAAAATGTCCGCCAAAACAAGAGGAAATTAATAAACGGAAAGTTTCCTTGATGCGTACCGTTTACCGTTTACTGTTTTCCGTTCTTACCCATGAAGTGCAAATCCAGCTTAAATTAAAACTGAACTATATTTTCAAATTATGTGGATAACTGTTCGCACGTATCCTAGTGTTTAGTTTTGTAATTAGCCCTGCAAATTCAATCGTTGCCCTGCAACGTTAACATTTTTGGGGGGTTAGTCCCCCCATACCCCCCTTAAATTTCGCCCCTGACTACATCTCTTTCTATTTTTATTCCTATCAAGCATCTGTTCATACGACTATTTTGTGGGAAAGTTTTACGTATATCAGTTATATTAAAAATGCGTCGCTTAACAAACCTCGACAATATTTATTATTTGAAGTCATTGAAATTTTAACAAGCAAGTGTTGGTTGATGGCGAAAGTTGGCAAATTTCCCTGTAACTTTGGCTTCACGTTCAGGTTTGGATGATTCATAAACTATTTCCTAAAATATAATAAATACTTACATTTATCATGAAATATATACTTTCATTTAGCTCTTGTGACATATTTATTAGCACATTTTAAAATATCTTAAGAGAAATGCATGCTTTGATCTGGATTTGTTATGGGTGAACATGGCTGAATCCCTTGAAGTTGTTGACTATGTTGATATGTTCAACAGAGTTCGTACACAATACACAGAAACTTGAATATTCTTGAAAGTCCTTGTATTAATTAAGATGTTCTTCAAAGATCTTGGATTTCAATTTTTTTCAAATTTTTGCGACTAATTTCCTTTTCATCAGTGAATTTAAAAATGTAATCTTTTTTTGCCGGAAATTTGAATTAACAAACCAACATGGCGGCTTCACATCACATAAAAATTCTTGACTTGCAAGGAAAAAGATTGGACTCGCTGAAATCTTGCAAACAAGCCGATTAAACGACTATACTAATAACCTATGGTAAGATTTGAAAGATGTGCATCTGCGATTCTTCTAACTGGCAAATGCTGTAAAGTTTTCATTGATGCATGATACATGGCTTAGTTTTTCAAATGATAAAGACAATATATATTTATTAAATATCATGCTCTTATTGACCCGCAGGCAAGCTTTTACATGTAACAGCAAATAAAACATTTCTGTCAATTACATATACAGTTCACTGTCTTCAAGCAGTTCAGTGTGTTATCGTGTGTTATCAGTGTGTTATTGAACTAAAATAGATGGAAGTCTACACGTCTTTCGATATTTTGATGGCAGTAGAGCCCACTCTTTAAACGCAATATAAACGCACGGCCGATAGAAGCGAAGGAAAAGATAACTTGTATGATTTACAAATCTCCCAAAACAAAACAAACGTCCTTTTTTATTTGGCAAACAAAACTTTTCAAATGAAATTTAACATTAAGCATACACAACTTTTCGGCAAATAAAGTTTTGCAAAGAAAGCCCTAGCTGTTGTCTATTACAGGTAGCCTTCCTTCTATGATATTTCAGTGGATTTATCACAGTTCTCTTTGCTCCAATTTTGCACGATTTTATACTTTACTAAGCAGTTTGGTGAGAGAATGGAAATTGAACAGGTGATGTAGCGTGTATCAATTTCACAAAGATTATGATTTATTTTCACCACTTTCAAAGAGAAAGCGGTTTTGGTGTGCTAGTGAAGTCTATTAAACCAGACGGCAGATACGTACAATGCGCTTTAGTAAATTTTATTTAGAATTTGAGACCAACGCCCGTATTCTAAACGCTCTCTCACGCTAATTGTGTTCTCTCTAATTAATAGCAGACTGATTTCTTCTACAATTGCAAGATTTTTGCTAAAATATTCCAATAGAATAAGCTTCCACATTTACGTGAAAATTTTTACGAGCAGTAGGTGAATTATTTCTGCAATGCTCAGCAATATATCTCATTTTGCCCGAGTTATATATGTTTTAACAGACTGACTACGGAATAGTTCCTTTCTTATTCTCTCACAATGATGTCTGAATATGAGTAGCTACTCAAAATAAACTCCTTTCTCACTTCTTAATCATAAATGCATATGCGTTGATACAAACTTTTATTATACGCACGCAGCAATACGTAGATGTTCATTCTTTCCGGCAAATTTCCTTTAGCACTGGCAAGAATTGTATTTTTTTAATGAACATCATTGATACACCCATTAAGAAATTAAAATTACATATAAGTCAACTAAATCTATTTCATTAAATATTACGTATTGTTTGCTGGGCAGTACTATTTATCTAAAGATCTATTTATTTTGCTGTTTTCTAACTGACTAAGAAAATCATCTTCAACGGACTCCTCCTTATGCACTGGGAAATACATTTCGTCATCATCTAGATCATCATTAAGATAACTTCTCCCTAAGTCAAAAGAAAAGTCATTTGATTCGCAATTCTATAATTACTACACGAGGATTCATGTTTAGATATGTTTTGATAAGTCGTTGGTCCATGATTTGGCATGGCAGTATACTCACCATCAGATGTCTCTTGAATAGGCAAAATAAGGTGGAACTCATCGGCTGAATTAGATCCATTATTGTAACCAACTATTCTACTTCTACATACAGAAAGTTTCAAAAGTACTGTTAAGTTTTGTAATATAAAGGATGTCTCGAATAAAGTACAAACTATTGATTAAATCACGAATGGCAATATATTGGTGCTTTATTGATATAGTGAATGATTTAAACACGTGAGTATCGTTACGTGTTATATGTAGTCTTGATTATCCAGGTTACAGTCTTAGGACCGGTTGCACGAAGCCTGGATAGCGTTATCTATTGGATAGCAAAAATTTTCAAACTTGTAAAAAAGGCGTTTATATTTTTCTTACGACAAAGAAATTTTGTAATCTTCGAAAGAATATTTTATTTCAGTGATTGCACAGTTCAAATCGTATATTTTTCTCTTATGAGAGATTTTATGAGCGTTCAGAAAAACTTGCTATCCAGTGGATAACGCTATCCATTCTTCTTGCAACCAACCCCAGCGGCAAAAAAAGAAATTGTTTCATTTTCAATGACTTTGACGCTGATCTGAAGTATTTATACATTCTTGGAACCTTTGTTGCCTTTAAACATCCGGGGAGTTTTATTGCGCACCTTTTGAAATGCTTTAAACTTCTTGACTGTTTTCGTTGTCACACCTGCAAAAGTACGAGAATCAAATAATTCTTTAAATTTCAGTAACATTGGTATTTGATAGATATGTGTATAAATGGTCCATTTTCATATACTAGTTAGGGCCCACGTACCATGGCACAATGGCACAATGCCCATGTCCATGTCTCTTGGGTATGTCCGAATTTAAGAAAAGTTAAATTTTTTGGTTAGTTTTCTTACAATAAGTTATAGCACATCCTTTCCAATTTAGAAAGATGACTTGCTGAGTTTAAAGTTTTTATTATCGAGAAATATTCTGGGTTTTTTTTACAAGAACATAAGGTAAAAAGTATTGATTAAGTCACATTTACTTCAATGGCACACGTTGTTATCTAGAAAAAAATTCCGGCATTTGTATCACAAACTTAAATTAATTCTATTTTCGTACCAAATTTCCTTTGCAAGCTTATGTACATTCTATACTATTAGTATTCACACGATACTGGACTCATACAGTGTCGGAATCGAAATCCAATCATGAATCCAATCCGATGAAGCAAAAAAATTAAAATAAAATCATTATTTATCTCTACAATTACGTCATTTCCCCTGCAACACGAACTGGTGCATGTGGAGTAGCCGTATGGCGGCAAATGACAGTCGAAATCTCGACGCATTTCTAACAGAATGGCCGTCCCATTTGGACTGATAGGATGATTGAACTCTTGCCGTAGTGAATCATGAAGTTTGATTGTATGTGGAGGCAGACTGGAGAAGTATTGAATCCAAATTTGAGCGAATTGCAATTTGGAAATGACTGTTTGAATTGCAGCCAGAAAGGAGGTTGGTAAACTTGATACACGGGAATAAACATTCTAAAACTCTCTGGTCAATGTGCATGGAAAGCACTAGGACAAAGAAAAGAATAGCTGCTAAGGTGAAATATTTGTTAAACAAGTATTAAATAATTAGACAGGTTCTTAGCTGGAGGGGGGGAGGGGGGCTATGAAATTCATATATTCTGTTGCACCCAACCATTGAGTTGTATAAGACCTCAAGGTCACAGAGAACTCAATGCGTCCAACTCATATCTGTTGCATTGATGAATAACACCCTTCCCTAACTATGTTGTAGCAGTGGCCCTGGGAAAGTGTTGTCCTGAAATTTTTAATGTCTTTAGTGAAATTTGAGGTGCAGTCCTTCGACAACTAACCTTGAATATAGAGTGAATTTTTAAAATGCATAATTAGAATCAAGTCTCTTTATTTGTATCTTGCAAGTGTTTTAGGAGAGGTTAGTTCAGTGTGATCAGAGTTGGTAATTTTTATTACTAGATCCAGTCTGGTGAGCTTTGACAGCCCCACCTGCTTTAAATGATTACAACATATGGAACAGGGGGAAGCAATCTACACAGATCGATGCTCATAATGTATTAAACATACATTGTCACATTGGATAAGTCACTGTGAATGAACATCTTGTTATTCTACAAATTAATATTTTGCAACCAAGATGCCAATGAGGAATTATTGTAGACAAGATGATGCAGTTTAAAAAATCATGAGAATTTAAAAAAAAATAGTTGCTCTATGGCTATATTATCATGTGCAGAAAGAATGTAGTGCAATATTTTGAAGCTAGCCATTCTTCTGGTGCATTCAAATAACTATCAATTTCCAGTTTGCACAAATTCAGATGCAACCTATATTATTGCACAGCGGCACTGGAAGGACTAAAATGGGGGGGCACATCTTTAAAATCGTCTTCACCAATTTGGCAGTTGTGTCATGTTTTCCACTTATTGTATGCTTTCAACACCCCTAATAATGCATCTTAATGTTTTGTTTAAGGAGGAGTATTCATTTTAGTTGAAGTAATTAGCTTGTGATTCTTTACTGAAAATAATTTTTTCCTCATTTCAGGAACTTAATTTTAAAGTTGAGTAGAAACTCACTGTCATATACGATCATGTTCAAAGTAGCGTATGGTATGTATTTCATTTAAAGCTCAATAAGCTTCCTTAAAAACCTTAATTAAGCTTTAATTTACCAAGTGAATTTTCCATTGTTTTTTCTAAAATAATCTATATTTGCATCATCGTGCTGATTGTGTGGTTTCTCATTTGCAATTTTTGTCAAAGTAAGCATATTAGGGTATAGAAGATTAGCATGAAAGCGTTTGGAGACGAAATGTTCACCATTAAACATTACTTTGAAGAGCATTTCATTGCATCACTCAGTATTTCAATGAAGCTAGTTCTGAATAACATGCATACAGTACAGACAGACCATTTGATTTTCAATATTTGTGTTCCACACAACTTTAAACATTGAGATTATATACAGTATGCCTTTCCTGTTTTTATAATCATCTTTGGCATCCACATAACCACATTCTTTTAAAGATGCCCTCACCCCTCTGGCAATCCACAAGTTTAAAAATCTGTTTATACCTTGTCTTATGTTGTAGGGATGTCTTATGAATATTGTCCTCAAGAACATAAAAGTCGAAGGAATATTTCTACAAGTTTGAGCACTCTGGTGACTCTAGTGTAAAACAGCAACAATGTGTAACCATCTGTTCTACTCCCCAGTCTTGAGCCCCCATTGCACAGTAGGGTACATTGTTATACAAATTGTGTATATAAAGCATACAGGGTGTGTTAAAAAACTTCAATCCATAGATATCATCTGACCTTTAGAATTTCCATTGTCCACAAGGAGGCGTAAACACAATTAAAAGGAATTGTATTGTTGGATTTAATATGTGCACTAGCTGCCTCCTTGGGGTACAATTACTGCTGAACCATGCATTTATAGTCGAAACTTGAGTTGATTTAAAATGGTTTCAATGTTTAAATTTTTTAATACCTCGGAGCAATGTTTAGTGATGAATCTTGAAGAGTGTTTAGTGCATGTGGTGTAAAGTGTGCAGGGATAGGGTGTATTGTGTACAGGGTGTATTGTGCACAAGGTGTATTGTGTACAGGGTGTGTTGTGTACAGGGTGTATTGTGTACAGGGTGTATTGTGTACAGGGTGTATTGTGTACGAGGTGTATTGTGTACAGGGTGTATAATGTACAGGGTGTATCAAAGATCTTTAGAAATTGACATATTGTGATATTCTCAATTGCTACGACTAGGCTCGGCACACTACTGCATAAAGTATTGTTAGCTACGTGCATATACTTGCGCAAAAGCTTTTCTGATCCTGGGAATTTGACACAAGTTCTAACAACAAAACATGTGCTGAAATGTATCACAGAGTTTAGCATCGTCATCAGGTCTTGAAATTTCACGATAGGTTAGTTTCTAAATGTCGTCTTTGATACACCCTGTAGCTAGCCCGTTCATATAAACGTGCCTGCTATACTGTATATTTTGTCCACTAGAGTTCGGTCGGCCTTCGCCGACGTGCAGTTGTACTACTTAGTGACATACGTACAATGGTATCATCGTTAGTATGTTAAACCTTCAAAATGCGTTTGGCATGACGATTTATTTATGTAACAATGATTTGAAAATAACAAATCAGCTTAAATAGTTACATTTCGTTTATTATCATGTGGCAATAACGTCAAATTTATCTCTGTAAAATACAAAGTACTTTCAATTAGACCTATCCATCTTGTTGTTATTCTAATTAAATAAACCCGATCTATATATAAGTTAAAACTTACCTTTTTCCTTATATAAAGCTTCTCTTTAGTGGCGCATGAAATCGAATTGATATTCGTGCAGCGGGATGAATTTAAATTTAAACCTCAAACTTTTTACGCAAGTGCGGGAACCAATGGTGCGAATGATTGGTTGAAGTAAAAAAAGTATTGTTTGCGCTATTTACGTTTAACTTTCTCCCGAGTCCCCCCGACAGACTTATTCCGCGCGTACAATCATTGTACAAACGATTTGCCCGTTTGTTTATGAGTGTTTGGAAATAGATGTGTGCGAGCAAAAATAGAATAAAAAATGTAAGTAAGTGACCACTAAAGATGCAATTTCAAACAAACCGAGAACCGTAAAGACATTGCGATAAATGTTTACAACACAGTATGAAATATACAGAGGTGAGTTAAATTTATTGATGATTTAGTATCGTGGATTTTGAACTAAACCGAAATTTTCTATTTTTTATGAATTATGATGTATAGTGAAATGTCCGAAAGGCAGCACATTTTTTTTCTTCATTTTATTTTATATTTTTAAATGTCATTGCCGCATTCGTTCAAGCCCGGTTTCCATATAATTTTCTCGATCGTCAATCGTCTGAAAGCGTGTAAGGGCGATTAGAGCGTTTTTATGGAAACATATTCAAGACTATCGAAACGAACAAGGCCATCAAAGCGATTACAATTGTCAAGATGGAACTCTGTTCTATCTAGACGATTAAAACGACTGCTTGCAATATCGTCCCTACACGCTTTCAGACGACAGACGATCGAGACGATTATATGGAAACGGGTTTTATGTGTTAAATTAGACTACACACCAATGACCTAAGAATGTAACAGTAACAATAGCATCAACCTCTGTTTGGTTTAATACTATGATGTTTTCAAGTCATACTTTAAGACTTAAGATACTTTTACTATTCCCAAGATATTGACTTATAATTATATATTGACTAATATAATTACTATATAATTATATATATATTGACTTATAATTATAACTAATCTTGCATTCTGAATTACCAAGGAACATGGCATTATTTGCGTCTTCACAAAACACTGTTACAATTTTACCTTATCATGTGCATTAAGCAAATTATATATTTCAAGTCAATACATTGAATCATAGTGCACTTTTTATCTTTTAATAGCATAGTAGGGTAATCAAAATGTCATAAAAGTTTAAGTTTGTTTTGAAGCTAAATTAGTGAATGTTTCAATCTAGATGGCTTTCTATCAATGTTATCAACTATAGATTGCCTTGATTTTTGTGAGAGAAATTTAAGCAAAGGGCTTCCTTCCCTCAAATACCAATTTGAACCCTTTACTATGCCTAACTTGCATCTTAATATACGTAAATGATACATTTGAATTACAGAGTTTTGTTTTACCAAGCTTGGAGTATTACAGGAATTTGTTACTTTGTTTTATATCTTCCTAATCTCTCTACATTTCTTCAGATAGCTTCAACCAACTTCTCCAAGAAGCTAGACCTTACCTTTGTTTGAAAATTCATTTGTGGCTATAGTTGAAACTTGTATTAAAGATGAAGCTAGTGGTGGGGTGAATCAACATGAGAATCTCCATTCGACAAATATAATTACCCAAAGTTGTCGCATCCTTGAGGAAACTATAGAAGCAAGGTTTGCCTATAAACAGTGCATTTTTTGGTGTCATTGATTAAGGGGTGTTTTTTATTTCACATCAACTGCATCACAACTTTGACAATTTGACTATCTTCTGTTTTGATAGGTGAAATTATAACCTGCCTTATTTTTACAACAATATTCTACCAATTCACACTTTTCCACAATTATGAAACACTTAATTTATACATTGCAGATTTTTTGCCTTAATTAAGTTATAAAATGGAACATTATTTTAAATATATGAACATGTCTGTTGTGGGTTTTCAACTCTTTGCTACCTGCTGTAGGAATCAAGATGCACAAAAAAGTCAACCTTTTTTTTATTAGTTTATTGTCATTATTCATACTGTATAATCCTTAATCACTATGGATTTCAAAAGAAATTAAATAACTAACATAGTAAAACATGTATACGGTATATAAATATTAGTGCCTCCCCCCCAATCATCAATCAATAACCGCAACGCAGCAAAATGTCCTCCCCAAAAAACATGTTTTCAGTCATGTTTTTTTTCTTACATAGTTTTTTTCTTAATAAAATTTTTTGCAACTTGATCCTACAGTTGTTGGGACATGTTTTTCAAACATAAAACAACTATTACACTAAACCAAGCATCAACACAAAGTAATGACAAAAATTCTATTAATACACTTCTAAAACGATTCTATACTTATCATAAGAAAAATCTTCTCGAGATGCCCCCCCCCCTCCCTCCCCCTTTCATAGCGTCGAAATCATTTAACGCCTCACTGAATTCCGGTTAGCCAGGCTCATATAAACAGCCCTTTAAGTGACTAATTTTCCGTTGTTAGCATTTCTTTAATTAACGTCGTGACTAAAATTTTTTATTGTGAATGGCTCCTTAGGAGCATGTCATCTATCAAAAAGACTTGCGTTCAAATCAACTTCAATGCGTTTAAAAAAAAGTCATTTGAATTTTCAGATTTTTTTACGTTTTAATGTCGTTATCCAAAGTAACGATGCATGATGTTGTAGGTTTAGATTCATGAGACGATATTAAATTTGGAAACTATACTTTAATTTTGTACAAATATTTATGAAATCTTACAATCTCATCTTGCTATGTTAAGGTTAGGAGAGGGTTTAAGGGTGTTTTGGTTGACGTCACCAACATCTTAATGCCGAAAACGATGATATTTGTGTTATTTAATTGGCTGAATAACTTAATTAATTAAGGATTTGTGTAATATCACAGAAAAATGGTCAATTATCTTTTGCATTTTACGTATATTAATGAAGGGAGAACATAGTTCTTTTGAAGTAAATGGTTTGAACCCGGGAGTATCGTTATATGTTTGTAAATGATGATCGTCCAGGTTAATAAAATCCTGAGAAGGACTGTTTTTGTTGTTGTTGACTGACGTTTCGACAACCTTAGCGGTAGTCATCTTCAGAGTCAAATGAGGAGTAAACGTCAGTTTCCTATAACGGGGAAACTGGCAGGAACTTAAACATAAGACTTACTGAGCACAAACGAGCTACTAAGAAACAAGACAAAACTAATCACATTGCCGAACATCACCGAATCACAAAGCACAACATTGACTGGGACTCGGCAAAATGCATTACATACAGTACTGACTATAGACAACGGCTTACATTAGAAAGTTGGTAAACCAACTTGGAACAAACCCCCCTGAACAGATCACAGCAATTACCAGCACCTTACAAACGACTTATTCACAATACAAACAAACGATCAACTAAAAACATTACACTTCAAACTAATTCACAATGACAATACACAATTGACACCCACACACTACAACTAAAAACGTCACACCTAAATCACACATCACAACTAAAAATAAAATATTTCACTTCACACTAATCCACAATGACAATACACATTTCCTGCACATTTCCTGTACACACAATACAATGACGTAAGAACCAGACAACAAATACGGCTAACCTGACGTTTACTCCTCATTTGACTCTGAAGATGACTACCGCTAAGGTTGTCGAAACGTCAGTCAACAACAACAAAAACAGTCCTTCTCAGGACTTTATTAACCTAGACGATCATCATTTACAAACATATAGTTCTTTTGTTTGGCAACAATACGTTTTGTTTTAAAAAATTAGATTTGATAGATATTCGGTAATTTGTTCAAGTACGAACAATGAATGTTAAACAATCATGTGGAACAAATACATATAATGACATGCTTAACACCATGCATAAAAATACTATTCACTTTAAGTGTTGCCTCAAGTAAATCACGATGCGTCGTGGAAAGCAGATGTTGTTCACATGAGATGGAACAAGACTATGCACATAGACGACAAGTAAAAAGATTTATGATTGTGCAAAGCAAAATAAAGGTGTTGCCTTCAAACCCTTTTGAAATGTTTTACCCACGTACTTGCTTCGGTATCATGTATAAAAATAAATCCCACGGCTGGAAACTAAATGTAAGTGACTACACTGACGATAAATGATTATTTGCTTCTTCATTTATCTCTATATTGTTCTTTTGAAAATCTCAATGTTTTTTTATTGATGCTATTTACTTTTGGTTTGTTTCTTCAATGTCACGTTAGTCGTTATTGAATAGATGCAATGATAAATGCACTAAATTTGTCGTCTGTCTCCAATGCACTATGTGGTTGAGCGCTAGAGGTGCAGTTTTTTCAGATTGTGGTGAAAAATTGCAATGAACGAGATCCATAATTGTCTTTTGCTCGAATTTCTTACAATATTTGTAGTACTCGAGAAAACTCAGGGCAAACAGAGCGCATTTAAACCCTCTCCTAACCTTAACCTAGCAAGATATGACTACAAGATGGACAAAATTAATGTCTAGTTTCTACATTAACTATCGTCTCTTGAATCCCAACCTACAACATCATATCCCGTTACTTTGCGTAACGACATATAAGCGCAAAAAAATCTGAAAATTCTGATCAATTATTTTCATTTAAAAGCACTGAAGCCTTCACTGAAGGATTACTTATTGTCTTTTTAAATGGATGACATGCTCCTAAGGAGACAATCACTATAAAAAATCTTTTTTATGACTTATATTAATGAAGTGTTAACAACGGTTTAGTCACTTTAATGTTAGAAAACAAGGTAAATTCTCTCTATTTTACTGTCTAGGGAAGTATGAGTTACTTGGAATAACAACTAGTCTTATTTGTTGGCTTTGTAATATGAAAACTTTCACTGTAAAATGCTTCTACCACGATGTTAAGTCTTTGATCGTTTGAAAGTTCTTGTTGCATCGTTCAATTTTCAAACTCAACTGACTAAAGCTATTTGTGCAATGTAGGTAAATGTTTTACCATTTGGATAATCAAACGGAAAACATATTGTAACTTGCTCATCCTCTATATATCTTATTCATATTTTCTTATATTGTAGATCCCACATGGATGGAGTTGTGAATATCCCTTTACCACCTGTGTCATTCACTGCAATTACTCTTACTAGAGTGTCATTACTCATGTGTCATGGTGATTCATGGCCAAGAATGTTCATTTGTAGTTTGGATTCTTTGTTGATGTCAGTTGTTTGTTCATATAATGATGATGGGCCCCATTGTTATATGAGCCCACTTAAAGGTGGTCAGCTGATATTCACAGAAGATGAACTCTGCACTAAGCATTCTTTGAGTGATGATATAAAAGGTGTATTGAAGTGATCCCTTTTCCTTTGCTTGAAGTTACCAATTGTAATCTATGGAAATAGCGATTCATGATCTCGGTAGCTACTTTATTGGTTAATGATGTTGGTAACTTCGTGTATGGAATGGTACAAACGTTTTGAATGGACATCGTATAACGGCATATGTACGTATGAACATTAACATTGGAGTGATTCGACTATAAAAATGGTCTATATTCTACGAAGATGGAAAACAAGCGAGTGGAAAAACACAATCCATGTCTTGTGGTTTGTAAGTTGAGTAGATAAGTGTTAAAATTAACTTCGATAAGAAACTGCATGAGATCGTTAAAAAGGATCCTGATGATCTATTTTTATAATTTGAACCATAATCATGAAAAACTCCCAAATTAAAAAGATTATCAATAAAAGATGTCACTTGCTGTAAGAAAATAGCTGGCTTTCACTTGCTACTTTTTCCTAATTTTATTTAACGTTTATAAGGAAAATTGCAATGCTGCAAGCAGGGTTCATCGAATTTCTAAGATAAAAACATTGCAACATATTTCAACGATATACACGCAAGAACTGCGCGGTGAAAAAAGGAAGAGACCTTCTAAGTCGCCTGGATCAGACTGACCAGGACAACGCTTCGAAATCAGGTATTAAAAATTTTGCTCTTTTCAGTTTAAATTCTTTTTTTGTTCATTCATTATGCTGACATTTATAACGTGTTTTTTATACAGTAGCTATGTCTGTGGGCCTACTAAATGTGCAATGAATGACGACCAAGTCAGACAGAAGCACCAAGAGACAAGCGTCCTTATTGAAAGATTTACACTTGCGACTTTTATTATGCATAATGTTTAGCAATATAACGCATTTTCAAATTCAACAGTTAAAAAACTCCGTAAAACTAAATTTTCACAATTGTTAAATTTCTGACTAAACACACGAGTGAAAGCCAGCTATAAATGAAGGTCTTAATGAAGCAAAGTAATAATTTTTAATAGAACAAATTCTAGTATACATCAAAAATGATTTTTATGCAAGTCATGACGTCACTTTGGTCATTTCATTTTTCATTGTTATTAAAGTCAGGTCGTACGCACTGAATATTTTTTCATATGATTTATGTATAGCTACTAATAGTTTTCATTTTTCTTCTATTTATTAAAATTTGTGTTAAGACTCTGCGCTTTTTCATTTTTTGTTCTCTACAAAAGTTTTCGTTTCTTTTGTTGGAACACAAAATATTTGCTGTGCCAATATGGTAGTCAGCGCACTTTTTTGTCTTTCTGAAAATTTAACGCTGTACGATCTGATTACGCTGCATGTTAAAGTAGATCATCGGGATCATTGAAAATAACAAAAATACGAGACATCTTAAAACTACAAAAATTAAAAGAAATTTTTCTAAATTTTGATCTTTTCTTTTATTGGAGGGTTTTTTACCGGATCCGCCGGTTTTCCCTTCCATATCGTTTTGTTTTGGAAAAAAACAGTGTCCACATTTGGGGCCAAGCAAAGCTTTTTGTCAGAACACTATTTATTGTAGCTATCACGAATATTCACGTTTCTTCTTCATTTCATGGCCTTTGGGTATATCTCCCAAAACACTGCGTTTATTAAATACATGGCTTACATTTTCAGAAAATAGGTACGCAATGCGTACATGTTTTTAGCCTACAAGTATATAGCTACTGATTGGAGTAGATTTAATCAACATAGTTAAAATAAAATTATATATTTAATATTATTCATGTCAAACTTTTTCAAGATTTGAAAATGCTTTTTAGTTATATGACCAAGTAATTTCCTAACTCTGGAATCCGATACAATACTTCCAAGCAATTGCAGCTGCTGGAATGCGATACTGCAATCGTTGAAGCTCGAAGGTGCATAATTTCAGAATATCTCAAACATTTACTTGTTTTACGATAAAAAAGGCTACACCGAAGAAAGCCATTCAAATACTTGATGCACAAAATGACAACAATCACCAGATACACCACTTAACCTAATTCATTAAGTCTCTTGGAAGTAACGTCATTGCATTTCTTCAGTTCGCTATTGGAGCCAGTTTCCTTCTGCCAAAAAATGAAGTGGAAGATCACATTCACTGACTTAAATGGTTCAGCCCGTCGGCCTGTTGTGCATACTTGTGGTCCTTTACTTGAAGTTCCAAGCACCTATCAGTGCTAAATGAAGTAGTGGAAGATTCTTCATCCATTCTTCGCGAGAAACGTTCATGGACGTTCGATATTGTCTAGTGAGCACGTTAAAGTCATATCTACACATCTAAGGCCCCGTTTACACTATACCGGATTGCTATCGTAGCAGGTTGAATATTCTTTATATCAAAAGGCAGTGAAATTGTTCAACGTCAGAAACACAATCAAATGGACTAAATCTATCAGCTTAGTAAGCTTTTACTCCGAGCAGTTACCCCTTTAAAGCAAATGAAGATGTCGTGATCAGCGAATCCGGTATCATGTCAACGCAGCCTAAATATTCCAATATTATATTTGTTGTTTGTGTATATACTGTTGAAACAATTATTTCACCAACTGATTGATTCATTATTTGTAGTATGTGGAAACTATAAATATCTGCTTTAGATAGCTTTCAGTCTGGGTTTTTTTTTGCAACAACCATGTAGTATTTTGTCATCACTTCGTTAACAGTATTATAACGTATAAAAGTGCTTGTAGTTTTGTTTTAATAATTCCTACTAAATTCGTATTGTATTGCTTCTTCGATCTTGTGAATGTAAGCTCGGAGTATTAAGTCCCTAGCAATTATGATGTAAACTATTTGTGTTCGTGTAGTTTCTCTTGTAATCGTGCACTTTTGCTTTTAATCGTGTACTTCTATTTGTGTTCGTGTATAGTGCTTATGGTCATCCTTATCGCGGTAGCTTGATTGCAATTTTTCTTGACCGCACGACTAACATCTGTATCAAACACATTATGTAGAAGCGATATCTATAGTGTAAAGCTTCAAAATATAAGAGAAAAAGTCTAAGATTTTGGAATATTATTTCACGTGAATGTGTTGCTATGGGAAGCTAATGAAATTTGCATAATTTTACTTGATTAACTTGTGAACATGTCCTATTTCTTATTGCGAGATCATCTTTATATCTATCATAAATGAAATTTCGCTCTATAAATTGTCTACGAATTTTCTAAGAATTAATACGTCATTGTCAATGAATAAGAACGTTTCAATGTTGTGAGTTTCGTGTTGTGATTGTGTTTTCATGCAGAGAACTACCTATGATATATAGTGAAGGTCCTTTATCACTGGTGATGCAAAAACGCAAAATGATTTGACAAAAACGTGCAATCAAGCAATCACAAAACCATGTAATCTGATCGTGAAAACGCAGAAAATAGCGTTTACGACCTTTCTTTTGTCAATTTTTAATTTTTCCCGGGGGATCGTGTCCAGCGTGAGATTGTGTCTCAAGCCTGCATCTGCCCCAATGAAAGCCTATAAAACAATGGAAGTCTATAGTTTTTCGTGTCTTGCTGGGTGAATCTTTTGTTGAAAAAAAGGTAAAACTGTCATTTTTTCCAGGGGAAGTTGACTTTATAATTTATTCTGTGACTTCTTATAAAGTAAAAGATCATCAAATATTTGAACACATAATACTACCTTTTATCTATTTAATATTATATTCATATTATTTTGAAACAAATCGTAATTAATTCATTCTGTTACATTCAGACACAAATACATGTCATACAAACACGACGAAGCTGTGTCGTCATTAATATTTACACAATAAAAGCTCATGATTGTATTAATAATATTTTACAAAAAAGTGACGTACACACTACTAAAATTTATGTCCCCTGGGGTACAAATCTCAGTGGTGGCGAGGGCAGCTGCTTCCCCATTTTTTGTAAAATCGCTGATTTTGTCGGAAATTTGAAAACAACTGAATGTTCTGAAATTCATAAAAATAATGGTGGAGCAGTGAAGAGTGAATAATTCCATTTGGCAATTCATGCATAAACCTGATTATTTTTAATATATTTTCTTTATATGTGCTGTTAGTTGCCAGAAAGCTATGACTGCCTCCATCGATTCTAATATTCAGATTAAAACCCCCCAAAAATTGTCGAAAAATTTCGACGCTTTGAGCCCCTCCTGCCTCCAAAAAATGAATTTCAAAAACTGTTGGGAAACATCACACTTCACATGGCGTCTTTTCATTCCCTAATCTACTATTTTCAATGTCAAAAATGTGGACGAAAACAAAACCATGTTCATCGCCAGTCTCCTGTACGGGCAATGCCATATTTGTTTCGTAAATCTCGTCGGTAGATGGAGTGATTGGTGACTCCGAATAGATCTCAGTAAACTCATCGCCAGTGATGTTGGTCAAGTCATTATCATCTGGGTTCACATATGATGAGTGGGACTGGGGTTGAGTGGACTCAAAAAGAGGCAACTCGTCTTCCTCAAGTCAATTCTCGTCTTCCTATTGTCAATAAAAAACCCTCAAAATTTCTACTTTCTGCACAACCTTTGATGGCTACACTACTAGACCACCATAAATTATAGACCCTTACATTGTCTTACATCACTTCCCCAGCACTCCTCCCCCAAAAAAGTTTTTAGCACCACCCCTGTAAAGAATATGAAAATTTTTCCTTAGAGATGTCAAACTGAAATGTATTTTCTAAACATGTAGCATGGTCTATGTAAGTCTGAAATTAATAGGGGAAAGTAAGCATAGATGAACTCATTATTTTGGAGGGCTCCCTGACAGCCCCCCCCCCCTCGTCTGGCTTAGCCGCTCCTTAAATTACATGTTTCACTTGTAAATAAATCTACTTTATTCATATTTTTAGGTGTTTTCAAACATTTTCAGAGAGGTTAGTCAACATTAATGATCATTTCATATCTCAAGTTATTATGCTGCGACTAGGATTTGTAGTTAATGAAAAAATGTTCTAAACAAGATTAAAAAATATTATTGTGGTGCAGAATCTTGAAGTTGTCTATTCTTTGGTGCATTAAAGCAATTGCTGTTTGTAATTTTATGCAAATTCAGATGAAAACATAACTGTTAGCTTGTGATCATTTGTTCAAATTATTTCTCATTTCAGGACTTAAGTCGAAGTTGAGTGGACTAAAACCGATTAAAACTCACTGACAATTGTAATCATGGCTTTACTTGGTTAGTGCTCATTGCATATCGCTCAAAAATTATAAAGTGCAATATTAAGTTACTCAAAATGCTTAAATTCAACCTTCGTGCACTTGACCACAATTTTTGCATGAGATAACTTTGGTTTGAAAATTTTTCTTTTGGTGTGGTTTCTCTTTTAAAATTTGTGGTAGCCACCATCTGCAGGAAAGCATTTGGGAACATGATGTTTGCCTTAAAATGTTACCTTAGAGAGCATTTCATTGCATATCAGCATTTCAATCAAGCTTGAGTTGCCAAGCATATCTACCATGCTTCTAAATCATTTGATAGTATCTATGAAACAATATTTACCATCCACACCACCTTGAACATGAGAATGTAGAAATCTATTCTATTAATTTCATCAACTGTAGCACCAACTTTCAAATCAAGAAGCCCTAGTACCTCTGGTCTGTGGCAAACCATGAGGTTAAAAAATGACTATACCTTTTCTTTTGTTATAGGAACTGTATTGCATGAGTTATTAGCAGAAAATAAACATCGAAAAACTTCGCTCTTTTCACATGCAACCATCAACTGATAAAGAATATTCTAATACGTACCATAGTGTACATTTCGCGAACTAGAGTACGGAGATTGCTGGCGTGCGGTTGTACTATTAACGTAGCGACGTATAAATGTACCTTCGTTAGAATGTTAGTGTAATAAATCACCAAAATGCGTTTTCTTCGAAGAAAATGCGATAGTAACAATGTTTTGAAAATAACAAATCAGCTTATTTACCAACATTCTGTTTATAATCATGTAGCGTTAATTGCAAATTTATTGGTGTGAAATAGAACGTACTTTCATAGAAGTGCGCATTTTGTGTAATTCTGTTGAATTCCGATTTTACCTTCCGAAGAATCCGAACTTTTTGATTTTCTTTCCTAGACTCGGATAATTCTCTTTGTTGAAACGCGTAGGTGGCTGTAGGTATTGTTTGAACGCGAAAATTTCCCGCCGCTCTTTGATTGGGTGATTTCGTTGATACCAATCGTAGATGTAAATATGAGGGCTCTGGTAAATATACCTGTGATTGGTCGATATCAGCTTAAGCCAAAAACATTTGCAACATATCATCCCCCCTCCCCTCCCCTCCCCCCTTACAAAGCAAGAGTCTTGGTGCTCATGCCAGCGGAAGTAGTCGTTTCAATACGTGATTTAACATTTTTTCCTTAATCTTGTGTTTTTGTCATCGTTTATGGGGTTGTTTGGTTGTATGAGTTATGAAAAATTATATGTGTGTATGAAATTTATGAAATGAAAGAGAAAAGAAATCGTCAGAATGTGCTCACGAGCGATGCAATTTTCAAACATCGCATGCTTCATGATTCCGTAAACACATCGTCATTAATGTCTGTAAAACGTACAGTGGTAAGTAAAGTTTTTTAATGATTTATAATATAGATTTTGAACAAAATTGTCTGGCGAGTGCATTTTATTTTATATTTGGTCATAAATGAAACAGTAATTTTGAACATTTTATGAATTATGCTGTAGAATGTTGTCATTGTTATTGGGGTTTAGTTGAGAAGGACCTAAAAGGCAACACATTTGTTTTTTATTCATTTTATTTTAAATTTTAATTTATCATTGCTGCATTCGTTTATGTGTTAAATGAGACAACACATCTGTGAATATAATGGTAGCAAAATATTTAAACAAAAGCAACAACCTCAGTTTGGATTTAATCAAATTAATGTCCAATACAATTATATTTTTCAAAACTGTGAAATACTTTGAGACTTATTATAAAGTTACCAGTCACACAACATCTCTTACTAATCTTGCATTCTGAAATATCTGTTGAAACATGGCATTTTTTGCTTCTTCACAAAACACTGTATGTGTTGGTTTTATAAATTGTTATGTGTATGTATGTATGATCTCAAAAGCAACAAATTAATTATGGATTTAAAATAAACGACAAAATTTGTTATTATAAACTTGTTTGGACTTTCCAGTCTACTGAAGTTGACTTAATATAAGTTGATACTTATAATAAAAAAGTTGTCCTTTATTTTAAATGCCTAATTGTTATATGTGTTGGGTTTTTAATTCAACCGACCATTTAGTACATTTTTGAACAATGAAAAATCAAATTTGAAACTTGGAAAAGTTGACCATGTCTACTTAATGTAGGTGGACTGTTCAGTAAAGGACACTTAAATAGTATTTATGTTTTGAATTTTTGGGACATTACCACACAATTACCAAAAATAACCACTGTATGTATGCTCTAAACAGATGTTTTCAAACAAGTCACTTTCTTACATAATTCATTCATATTTAAATTGTTATGCATCAAGATCGTTCAGTTGTAGGGAAAAATGTTTCAGTTCCTAAGTCCCTGATATAAAACAACTATATTACAATAAACCAAGCACCCACAAAGTAATAAAAAAAATTTCATTTAAGATAATTCATATAAGAAAGACTGCCAAAAATAAATCCAGTGCCACATCTTCCTTTATGGTATGCCAAAAGTACAAATTATTATTCCCAATTTGCTATTTATTGCTCTAACTAGTAAATCAAATGAATACAATATTTGTCACATAATCACTGTCTTGAGAAATTACATTTTTATTGTCTTTCACATGTATAAATATTGTTTTTTAGCACATGTTTCTCTTTCTGGAAACTCTTTAAGACAAAATTTTTTACTCAAGAATTTTAAAATGAAACGAATGAACTAAAGACTGCTGAATCTTATGGCAAAGACAGTGAATATTCTGAAGATGGTATGTAAAAATAACAAATTTGTAAGAAATTTATAATGTACAAACTGACGAGTGGCGAACTTTTGACTTTTTCTAAAGAAATGAGTTCTACAAAATCAACATAACCCATTGATAGATGTCTTGAAAGCAGACTGGGATTTCTTCTCTGTAGAGCAGAGCATGTGCTCAATACTGCCAACAGTTACAAGAGATACTATGTAGCTATGTACAAGCTTAAACCGTTAGTTACTTACATATGACCAACAGTGAGATATTAATTATCGTGCTAATTTCACGTTCTTTGCAAAGTTTTCATGTAGCTAATATTTTTCATTGTATATTTAGCACACCTATCTAAAATTCACAGAAAACGTATGTAGTTCTGGGTATGTGGTTATTAAGCAAAAACATGTTTAGATCACAACTTAAGTTCACACGTATGCAATATAAATTCTTTCATGACATGGTGCATGTTGAACCTTTATCTTTGAAAAATGTTGCTTAAAAAAGAGTGTCGCTATTTGTTGGCAACGTTAAAATTTAACTATAACGAATTTGCAATAAAAGTAAAATAATCACTCATATATTGATATATACTATTATTCCCATTTTAACTTAGGAAGAATTAGTATAAGAATTCCTTATCGACGATGTAAGTTTTCTTTCAACGAAAAATGGTTCTTTATTCAATATTTGTAGAGTGATTTACTGTAATCCAAGAAAAAAAAAGTATTTTAAAAGAACTTTCTCCATTACAGCTTTATCATGTCTCCTGCCATTAATGAGATAACCACTATAAAACAAGGACAGATTTACTGAGGAGGGGTACAGGGTGTGGTACGCAAACTTTAGATTTAACTTCCAAAGATAAATTGCACACCCCTGTCGGAAACATTTTAACTCTCTCAATTTTTAGCAAAAAAAATTAGTAGTACAGTTGAACTGAGTTTTTCTGGGTAATGTTTCAACTTTCTTTAATATCTTTGGTGGCTGCATTACCAGACCTCCCCTAAAATCTACACTTTTATTGTCGTCACTTCTTTACAAATTGACTATTAAATTAGCACTTTTATATTCCAGTATTTTCTTGCTTCTAGCTTTTACTCTGAAATAAAAAATTTCTCTACTGAAGTCTTATGCTGCTGTATATTGTGGAATAATTCTTGTGAAACCAAAAATTCTTTTATCAAATTGACTAATTTTCGTCAATTATTAAAAGAAACAAGGTAAACTAGCGTGAGTTTATACACACGATATTTAATCATATAGTATTTCTAGTCACGCAGAGATCATATGACATTCTTTCTGACATCAATACTTGTCTTGAATGAATATGAGTTGACCATTATTGCTCTTTCGGTATGGGCAACAAGGGCAGCGTCGTCGGCAAATAGGAGGTCTCGGATCATCTGCTCATGGGTCTTTGTATGGGATTGCAGCCTCCTGAGGTTGAACAGGCTGCCATCAAGGCGATAGCGAATGTAGACAGCATCGTCATCGTCAAGGTCTTCTGTGGCTTGCCTAAGCATCATGCTGAAGAAGATGCTGAACATAGTCGGAGCCAAGACACAACCCTGTTTCACGCCGTTGACGATGGGGAAGGGTTCTGAGAGGGTGCTGTTCAACCTGACTTGGCCGCTCTGGTCTTAAGGCAGCTCGATGATCATAATGAGGAACTTTGGGGGGCAGCCAAGGCGCTCCATAATGAGCCAAAGTCCCTTCCTGCTCACTGTGTCCAAGGCCTTCGTCAAGTCCACAAACGTTACATAGAGTCCTTTGTTCTGTTCCCAGCACTTCTCTTGGAGTTGCCTGAGGACGAAGACCATATCTGTAGTACCCTGTTTGCTCTGAAGCCACACTGGTTTTCTGGGAGGTGGTCTTCTGCGATGGTAGGTATTAGCCTATTCAGGAGCACACGAGCAAGGATTTTTCCTGCGATCGAAAGCAGAGTGATCCCCGGTAGTTGGAGCAGACTGACTTTTCCCCCTTGTTTTTGTACAAGGTAACGATGACTGCATCACGGAGGTCTCTTGGAAGCTTTCCTTGTTCCCAACAACAGACGAGGAATTCGTGGAGCTTTCTGTGTAACACTGGGCCTCCATCTTTCCAGATCTCTGGTGGGATGCCATCAACTCCTTCTGCCTTGCCACTTTTAATCTTGTCTATGGCTTTTGTGAGTTCTTTCATAGAGTGTGGTTCGTCCAATTCCACTATAACTGGGAGCTGAGGGATGCGGAGGGTTGCTGAGTCCTGAATGACTCG